GCTTCCCGTCGGAGCTCAGCCGAAGTTCACCATTGTTCCCGCCATCAAAGTCGTCCCGGTCCTGTGTTCGGAGGAGAGAAAGGGGTCTTCCAGTCTGCACTTCCAGGCAAGTATGCATGTTGTAGCGGTTTTTCGTTTCCTGACAAAGTTCCAAATTTCAGTATTTCACCCATCACACTAAATTTCATCACCCGACCGAATGTTGACTCCACTGGAACTGCTGATTTATGCAACCTAGCTGCAGCTGCTGTTCTTCGAAGTTGTTCCGATAATTCGACCGTTGTTCGTACAGAACCCGAGCTATCACATCCGAGACGCATCATGGAAAGCTTGATGGAAGCCCCCAATCTCTCCAACCCAGTCCCGCCTACTGCAGCCAGCGTACCTCATAGTCGTCTCGGTCCTGCGGTTGGAAGTAGGGAGGGGGTCTTCCACCTTGCTTGTACAGGCAAGTACTCAATTCGACCTAGTATTTCATCGCGTAAAAAAGTTTCCCGTACACAGGAAATTGCACACCCTTTCATACATCAACCTTTGGAACCAGGACGCACTGAAAATAGCATTTTGGAAGCCCCTAGTCCCTCTAACACGGTCCTGCCAGTACCAGCCAGCGTTCTTCACAGTCGTCCTGGTCCTGTTGTTAGTAGCGGTTCGGGGGTCTTCCAGCCTGCTATGCCAGGCAAGTACAATGATAACTCTGAACATTCACCGCCTGACGCCATTCCGAATTTCAGCACTGTATCGGTACTCTCTAACACTCGAAGTGCGGGTTGCACCACTGGATTCTCCCATGCAGCCCCACCTTCTGCTGCCTTTGATCATCGAAGCTGCCCTAATGCTGTTATCAGAAGTGAAATTAGGATGCCCAAAAGTTCCCTCTCAGGCGAGGTGTACACAGATTCTCAACGTGTTGCTAGTACTAACCAGGACGTCACTATTTACTATCAGAACGTAGGCGGGATGAACTCGAACGTTGAAGACTATCGTATATCCGTATCTGACCGATGCTATAATATTATTGCTCTCACAGAGACTTGGCTCGACTCCCGCACGATCTCCAATCAAGTGTTTGGATCTGAATACGAGGTTTTCCGTTGTGATCGTAACCCCCGCAACGGCCGAAAATCAACGGGAGGTGGTGTCCTCTTGGCTGTCGGTTCTGAATTGAAAGCCAGAGCAATTGAAAATGATCTGTGGAACAGCGTAGAGCAGGCCTGGGCAGCTGTGGACCTAGCGGATCGCACGTTGTTTGTATGTGTGGTCTACATACCTCCAAACCGAGCTCGAGATATAGATTTCATCGACGCCCATTGTCGTTCAATTCAAGCTGTCTTGGAAAGCGCAACTGCTATTGACGAGGTTATTGTCTTGGGAGACTACAATTTACCTGGTATCTCGTGGCAACCATCCCATAGCGGTTTTCTGTATCCGGATCCAGAACGATCAGTGTTCCATTGTGGAGCCACTATGCTTCTTGATAGCTACAGTACGTCTACGTTATCGCAAATCAATCATGTAGTCAACGAGAACAACCGCAGCTTGGACCTTTGTTTCGTCAGTTCTCAGGATGTCGCTCCATTCATCTCCTGTGCACCCGCTCCACTAGTGAAACCAACTCCACATCACCTTCCTTTGATTGTGACTGTGGAGAGCAAGTTACTTCACGATTTTGACGAAACGCCCGTTGCTGTTTCCTACGATTTTCGAAAAGCAGATTACCGCAGCATCTCAGACTTGCTCTCCAGCTTGGACTGGGAAAACATCCTCGATCATCACGATGTTGAGGTAGCCGCAAGAACGTTTTCACACATTTTGGCGTATACTATCGACAGACATGTCCCGAAGATAAGTCACCAGAAAACAGCTCATCATCCATGGCAGACTAAGGAGCTCCGTAGACTGAAATCTACTAAAAGAGCTGCACTACGCAAATACACCAAGTACCGTACGTTCCAATTAAAATGCTATTATGTTCGACTAAACCATCAAACGGATCAGTCGTTAAAGCTATTCGCGATATCAGCAGGGAATTCAGCGCAGGATGAGATCACATCCGAAATCCTTTTGGAACTATGTAAACGAGCAGCGAAAGGAATCCGGTCTTCCATCGTCCATGGTGTTCAATGGCGAAGTGGGATCCACAAATCAGGAGATTTGCCGACTCTTCTCTCTCAAATTTGCCGATGTTTTCACTGACGAGAGCCTATCTGACGAATATGTTAACCTACTAGAACTAGTCATAATGGAACCGCTACTTTCTCACTGCAAGCATGTTTTGAGTGATGATCAGCATGGCTTCATGTCAGGTCGTTCCATCACCACCAATCTGCTTTGCCTCACATCTTATGTAACTGATAGCATGGTTGACCGAGCTCAAACGGATGTGATTTATACCGATCTGTCAGCAGCGTTCGATAAGCTAAACCATGCTATTGCTATTGCTAAACTAGACCGACTTGGGATCAATGGTAACCTATACAATGGTTTCGATCGTATGTAACCGGTCGCCAACTGATGGTTGCCATAGGCGATTACCGATCTGATACTTATCCTGCTACATCGGGGATACCCCAGGGTAGCCACCTTGGACCTTTGATCTTCCTGCTCTACTTCAACGATGTGAATTATGTGCTTGACGGACCTCGACTATCGTATGCTGACGATTTAAAAATCTACCTTCGGATTCGTTCCATTGCCGACTGTCACTTTCTTCAACGCCAGCTTCATGCTTTTGCTGACTGGTGCACCTTGAACCGAATGGAAGTTAACCCGGCGAAATGCTCAGTAATCTCCTTTTCTCGGATAAAAGAACCAATCATCGTCAACTACAACCGATTGGGTTCAGCAATTGAACGAGTGAGCCACGTGAAGGATTTGGGAGTCATTTTGGATTCGCAACTCACATATAAGCAGCATATTTCGTATGTCGTTGATAAAGCTTCCAGAACACTAGGCTTTATCTTTAGAATAACCAAAAACTTTACTGATATTTATTGCCTGAAGTCATTGTACTCCTCACTGGTTCGATCAGTCCTTGAATATTGCTCAGCAGTTTGGAATCCAAGCTACAACAATGGTGTTGAAAGAGTCGAATCAGTCCAGCACCGATTCTTACGCTTCGCCCTTCGGCGATTGCCTTGAAGAGATCCTTTCCGTTTGCCTAGCTATGAAAGCCGATGTCAGCTGATTGGTTTGGAAACTCTTTCGACCCGAAGAGACGCTGCAAGGGCTTTACTTGTTGCCGATACATTGCAAGGGAGAATTGATTGTCCTACTATCATCGAAAAAATCGATTTGAATGTACGACCACGTGCACTAAGAAACAGTCTTATGCTGAGACTTCCTTTCGTCGCACGAACTACGGAATGAATGGAGCAATAAACGGACTGCAGCGAGTTTTCAACAGAGTTGCCTCAGTGTTCGATTTTCACGTACCACGTCAGACGCTTCGCCGTAGTTTCACCTCGATATTTTCGGGCACAGGTAACCGTGAATAGCAGTGTAATGCTTAAGTTTTAAGCACAGACAATCATGTTGTTTTTTGTATTACTTAACATCATTGGGGCTTATTGAAGCCTGTTGATGGAATCAATTAAATAAATAAATAAATAAATAAATAAAGGAGTATCGATGGGTAACCCTCTATCTATCTATCTATCTTGTGTGAACTGTTCATGACTTAACTAGAGAGTGATTTTAAGGTGAAGGGATTGCTTCCAACACCGATGGTGGAAATATGTAGACCATATCTTCAGCATTATTAAGCGAGATTGCACAGTATATGCATTTAGGTTTACATCAGACGTCCCTCCTTCTTTACATATTCTGCACAAAAAATACTTTCTAAGCCCGACCCCTGACAGGATTTTTTTCAAGCCGAGAAATTCCTAGACCGGACCGGGAATCGAAACCAGCCGCCTCCAGCTTGATCTTGCATTATAGATGCGCCTTTACCGACTGAGCTAAGGGAGGCCCTTACTTAGTGCAGATAATTTGGTTGATTCTTCAGTACCACCTTTTTTTCCTCAGTTCGGGACCTAACACTACTGCGACCAGTAAATTGATCTATTGTAGTATATCCCGTGTCCTTAGTTTAGTGCATGTCGTATTACTCCATCACTATTGAGAAATGATGAAATATTCGATTTTTTTACAGTTGCCACTCTTGCATTTATCGCAAGGATCCGACTCTAATTGAAAGGTCCCGCTATTTATACCCTTCGGAGTGTTGAAACACCCTCCAAAGGCGCGCCCCTTTGTCAGTCAAAATTGGATTCCTTAGCAACAAAATTAAGGTATGACACCGATAATGACCATGAATCAGAACCTAGTCTTAACCACTTCAAACTAGGGAACAACGAATAGAAGATAGAAGACAACTAACTCATTTTTTTCCTTGTTTCAAGATCATCCTCGGTAGACAAAGCCGAGTCTTGTCACTATCAACAAGGCATAAAAAGTAACAAGGACTAAGATGTGTTACTCGGATTACTGAAAAATCCTGTTCCCCTAGTTTGAAGTAGTCAGGACTAGGAATCGGTGATAGATCTTACATCTCGTAACGTACCACGAAAAGGTGATCTACCCACGTTACGGGGCAGTACCATCTTAGCGAGCTAAAGTTCATTCACCGGTAGAGCACGCGCCCAAAGATGCTTTGCTTGATCAGTGTGGCCTTCAAAAAGGACGATCGATAGACAGAGTCACACACGTCCCCAGAATGTTTTATGCAAACCAAGCAAACAAAGATGATATTTTGCAGCAAGCCGCGTGTAGCTGAAATGAAGGCAAAGAGCTGATCTTATTCAAACGGTTTGTTCTAATATTTGCTAATCTATCAACCAAATGGATAATGGGGTGATTCACCAAAAACCGATGCGATTTGCAATATTTCACTATAAATAGAGTAGATTGGGTGAAGTTTGAATCAGTTTCAGTTCAAGTGTCACATTCTTCTCATAGCTGCTTAGCTTGGAATCGGATCGTACCAGAGATACACAATGAAGATCTTCATCGTTGCGCTGCTTTGCATTTCCTCTGGTATGATAACAAACGTGTTAATTGATAAGCGTAGCTTGACGTTAATCCGTTGATCGATCTTTCCAGCTTTCGCCGACGTGAGCGAGATAATCCATCATGAACACCAGGAACACCAGGAAGCTCGTCCGTTCGATATTTTGACGATCAACAACATCAACGTGGAACACCAACCCTCCACTCTGGAGCACATCTCGGAAGCCATCCACGTCCAAGAACCCGCTGCCGTTGGGTTTGGTTTGCCGGACGAGGGCATTGAAATCCTTGAAGCCATCGAAGTTCTCCCGGTCGTCAATGCCGACGCCGTTGTTACACGTGTTCAGCTGACCGAAGCCCACGCTGATTATCAGGGACCCTATCACTATGAGAAACCGACTGTTCAACTGAAATACGGTGCCCCACAGCCTACCCCAGTAGAACCATCGGTCCCTGTTGAACCACCCACGCTGAAGGATCAATCGAACAACTATCTGCCACCAAAGTACACCGGGGACAACCTGGTCAAGCGTCATGCCAAATACATCGTTAGACGTCGGGTTTAGAGTCGGTGAGAAAAAAAATGATTGAAAGATGATTATGAGATGGTAATGAATGGTGGAATAAAGTGATGTTCAAAGTGAAACGTGTTACGCCTTTGGTTATGTTAGCCTGTGATGTTTGATTGGAGGCGTTCTCTGGAGTATCGCATCTGGTCGCAGACTGGTCGCAGACTGGTCGAGAAAAATTGAATGAGGATGCAGTTCCGGTTATCTTAATTCGTATTTTTTTTTATTCAGGTACAGTATAATTTTCAATGTTGAGAATAATAACTATTTGATCGATGCATAATAATACATAAAATCACCGCATCTATAATGGTCTCCAGTACTGCGGCAACAAATTCTGATACATTGACTGTCCTCGCGTCACATGCCTCACGATTCGGTTGTTTAGATTCGTTATCCTGCAATCGGGATACTGCTGCTGCAACATCCGCAAACAGTCAACCTTTTGATCATTCTCTCCTTGCTCCCCGCCATCATCATCATCGTGATCGACAATGCTGTTTCCATCGGTATCCTCTCGTGCAACAACTACCTCATTCAGATAGCACCACTCGAATCGAACTCGCTGCAACTGTTTCAGCGAGCCGAAAATCCTCTGCAGATGCTTCGGGTCCTGTTTCCGATTAAAGCAAGGATTAATCTTCAAATTGCCGTATCTGCTTTTGTAAACAAAGATTCCACCGAAAATTTTAGCTCCCCCACGCAAACTAACACCACCATTATGTAGGGTAAACTTTACCCTACTTGATGGTGGTGTTAGTTTGCGTGGGCGGCAAATTCGACTTTTTAAAAAGTCCCCCATGAAAGATAACAAACAATTCGGCGCCAACAGCGAAATTTATTTAGTAAATAATGACTTTAGCCGTTGATTTCTCGTAAATAAAATCTCACTCATGCAAAGTAACGATTTCATCAGCTGGTATCGTAAATTTGCAGGAGTGAGCTTTTATTTGCGATAAATCAGTGGTTGAAGTAATTGTTTACAACAGCAGTTTCGCCCTAATGAAATGTTGACACTGAACTCAAGATCATCAATTAAATAGGCCTCATCAGCTTTTGTAAACAAAACTTCTTACGGCTTTTTTTTTCGTAAATCTTGTCTTGTGAACTTGTCTACGCATAACAACGACACTATCGGGTAGGGGAAGCTTTCCCCTAGCTGATGGTGTACTGGGTTTGCATAGGTGAACTCCGACTCAAAAGAAACGGCCGCAAGAAGTTTTATTTACAAAAGTCGATAAGGCCTTAAGTCCATAAATGGCTGTTAACTGTTATATCCAATCACTTCAAGTTTTCTAGAGCAGAAATCTGGGACAATGTTGCGACATCGTTCATGAAATTGTAACTCCCCGTTTGTTGCACTACAGCAAGCGTGAAGTTCCTGTTCCATTGTTGTGGGTTTTGTGGGAGGTGATATTTGTGCTCTTGAAATTTCGAGGTGATAGAAATAAGGTTTCCACAGCGATTTACCTTAAATTATTTGATCATTTGGTTTCCAATTGGAAAGCAAACTAGGAAACTTACCATTCTTACTTGATTCAGCTCCAGGGCCCTCAGTCCCGTTATGGTGGAAATATGTCTGACGAATGTCGAGTCCAGAATCACTTTCGTCAGTCGCAACGTTTGAAGATTGTGGATGAAAATTCCGCAGTTGACGGCATCATCGCTAAGCTTGTACCGCTCCCAGGAATTTTTGTGATTCCTTATGGATATGTCTTTCAGGTTGGACACATTTCCCAGTGGAGTCATTGTACAAGCATATGTTGTCAGTATTTTAAGCTGCGGCAAGCATAGCCTTGTAAGGGGTTGAGATTTTTGAATTTCCACCATCAGGTACAGTTCTTGCAGTTTCTTCAACCGATCGATTTGATTGAATGCGTCTTCACTCATTTTACGACCGTTGATGATCAGTGTTTCCAAATTTTTCGCCTCTCGAAAGATGATCCTGTAGATCAAATAGAACACGTTCTTTTCGTCGCTGATCTTCAAATACCTTAGTCGTCCAAAAGTCTGCAGGTGAACGGCGTGGAAATCGGATTCCCGAAACAAAAGACTCCCCTGCTGGGACATCAGCGTCAAACTGTTCAAACTCGTGAATGAATAATTTCCGATCGTTGCAAACAGAAGCATCTTGTTGATAAATCGCACACTCATGGTCTCAATCTGATCACTCATCACCTGAATCAATGGATTTCCGGATTTCTTCGAGTCCTCCAGCATCACGGTTTTCAAATTGGGAGCCACCACTTTACACTCAAGTAAGCTGCGCTCTTCAACCCATATCGACGACAAGTAGCTGATCTTCTCCAGCTTCGGAAGGCACATCTCTTCACTACTGTCCAGCAAATCCGACAGTGAATACCAGAACAACTCCAGCCGAAGTTCCTCTACCGTCTCGGCCACTTCCGGACTGAACAGAAACTTCCTCAACGGGTCCAGAAACTCACCCTTATCCTTGTTGGAATCCTTGATCGTGAACGCCCGGTACTGTTTCATCCATTGCAGCTGCGATTCAGTCCCATTAAGATTGAACGTACACAGACACAACCGCCGGTCGGGGATGTACCAATCGCTGGACAAAATTTGACACCACCGTTGGCAAACGGCCATGGCCAACAATTGCTGCTCGAAGCTCAGACAGTCAAACACCTGATAGAGCATTTCCGTTGGCAGCTTGTTGATGTAGTCCGGCATCATTGTGAATCGATCTTCGCACGACGTGGATCAAAACAAGACTGGCGACCGATTTACAAACATTGCTCTTTTTTGCAGGCGAAACTGACAAACTGGCTACCTAATTAAATGCGGAAGATCATCTCCCATTTGCAACAACGCAGTCGTTCTACCTGCTTCGAACAATGTGAGAGCGAGTTGCAGAACAAGAACAGGATGGATGCGTGTCTATTTTTGCTTGTAGGGTAGCAAAAATGCTTCACATGTTTTCTATGACGTTTTCAAAAAAGGGGAACATGGAGTTAAATGCAGCTCCGTGGCAAAATTAATTTTTGCCAATTTAAAATACCTTTTGAAAACATTCTCGTGGATTTATCTAGCTAAGTTGCGATGCTGATTAACAGATCATAGAAAAAAAGTAAAACGTATTTTAAATGCCAAAAAGTAATTTTGCTCCGGGGGTGCATCTGACCCATCTTACCCACCCCCACCGTCAGAAGCCGTTAGTATTCTTGTTTCTCATGTCAAGTAAGCACGTAAGCGCATAGTGCGGAATATCAAGATACAATGTGGCGAATTGTGTTCCACTGGATCCAGTTCTGAGCAAATCACTTTCAGGCACCAGAAAAGTTAAAAACGACCTTATCTACCGCTACTAATGTGTTACCTGACTAATAACGAACATACGAGTACCCCGAATACAACGTATAGTTCGTCTAATTTTACATTGCAAATGCTATGCAAAATTAGACGAGTCATACGTTGTATTCGGGGTACTCGTATACAACGTATATTCGTTATGAGTCAGGTAACATAGTAGGAATTCCACACGATGTTTTTTGAATAACGACAGTAATGTAAAGCCGAAATGTGCCAGGTCAACCTCGGAGTTGGCGATCTCGTTCGGGTTCTCTGCTGAATATTATTTTAATATTATTATTCTGAAATTCTGACATCCAATTTCATACATTATCAGCCAACTGTAAGCTTCTGATATTTCTTTGGTTTTATTACACCCCCACTGGACTTTAAGCCGGCTCACAACTTCGGGTTGCTTCGGTTCGTCTTTAGAAGATTTAGTTGTTATTGCGAAACATTCACGAATGATGTAAAACGACCAGTGCTGAGATTTGTCATTGTCATTGACAGGCTTTCACGCGATATTGACAAAATTGTTCGTCACATAGTCACTGACAGACTTGATCCTCAAAAAAACCTTCATCAAAATCTCATTCATTTTTTCGTCAATGACAAAGATTCACCTGGTAACAAATCGTGTAATTTAGTACATTCTGTGTCACATTATTGTTATCCAAGTAGTTCAGGACGTAGATGCTTATTCACTAAAATGGCTCCATGAAGTTGTTTTGCTTAAGTCATTTAATTTCGTTACAAATTTAGTTAATATAAAAATCTACACATGTTCGTCACTGACAGCATTGTCATTGACAATTGACATGGTTTGCCTTGACTATGACTGTTAGCTCAAATGAGTGACCAAAGCAGAATTGTCAATATCTCCGTGTACTGTCGAGATTTTGCAGCACTGAATACGACACACTTCTTTTTGGAAACTGCATGCCACTAAAACAAATGATTGTAAGGCCCATCTAATTTATTATCACACATATAATGACTATTCTAAATTGCTTTTCAGCAGCCACACAGAATCAGTTCCTAATGCATTCCACGACCTAACACTAGGTTTATCTATTAGTGTTACTTATCTCCAACTTTCATAGTTTTAAACTATAGTGTAACTGGATTATCAGTGTTTGGTCTTCGCTTGATTCGCATGATTAGTGCACGTCTTCTTCCCATTCTGGAAGGAACAGCTCATTCCGGCACTAGCTTCTATCGTATCGACGCCGTCCATTTCTGCAACGTGAAATCACATTTTGTTTTACATCATAATGCTACCACCAGCTTGACCAAATTCATCAGTCCACGGAATTAACACTTACTTGGCATAACACCAAAGCCTGTAGAAAACGGAAAGACAGGTTGTTTAGATGCCATTTTTCCCATGTCTTGCCACGCTCCACTGTTTCCAAACATCCATCCATTGTTAACGGGGTTTTGATTGAAGAGATTGGGATAATTTTCCGTTCCTGGCTTCTGCTCTTGACGCTCAGGACCGTCCTGTAAATATTGTAAATTTTGAATGTTAAGCCCTTCATTGACTATTTGAGCCAACAACTCCTACCGGCGATGGTGCACCTAATGCACCTGTTACACAAGCAAGGATCAAAACAACGACGATTTTCATTTTCAGCTCCTAAGTATTCCGATGCTTAACAATCCACAACTCAACTGATACTGACCGACTACAAATTGGTAATCCCCTTTTGATTATGCATTTAAATATGAGACGGTGTAACCACCATATAAAATTCTTCCCTTTTCTGATAAGAAGCAAAAACAATCAAAGCTCCATCTTTTTTCACTGTGAATCGGAGAAGTGTAAACATTGCGCATTTTGAACCTATGACTGCGGCTCGCGTGAATATACAACCTGTAGCGATTACTTGTAGTTCTGTGATGAATTAGAAATTCCGGCACCAGGCGAAAAACCCTGTCGTGATAAGGTAGACGTAATAAGCTGTCGTATGTGAAATTTGACCGCTCCCAGAATGATGGGGAGTTCCAAGCGAGAGATCTGTGCAAGTGGCATTTGTTTATACACTTAAACGCTTTACAAGATTAATTTGGTTAGCCTTATGTCGTTTTCGTTTTTGCGGGGTAGCACTGGTTAAAGAGCCTGAATTTATAAAGAGACGACATTTTATCCATTTGACAGGTCTTCTGCTCGATTGGAATGACTTTTCCTATGACTTTGACGGACAACAGATTGTTCCAATTTTGACATGTCGCCTCTTTATAAATTTAGGCTCTTTAGCACTGGTGTAGTGTAAGCAGGAATAAGCGCGAGTCTTTGACAGCTCAACATAATTTATTTGTAAACAAAGGTGCATCCTATATCTACACCCTAAACTATTTCGGTGTACGGCAGTGTAGCACCGGTGTAGCTACACCGCAAAAACGAAAACGACATTAGTCTGTGTTTCGGAACTGTAAAGATAATACCCTGGACAGACTATGGCTTATATCATGTAATATAGGCTGTCTTGCAATGAGCACTCATACATCTAGTTTTCACTGGAAATCCTATGTATGAGTGCTCATTTCAAGACAGCCTATATTACATGATATAAGCCATAGTCTGTCCAGGGTATAAGACGAGTGGTATTTTTTTTTCCTTGATTTGTTTTCCGTCAATCTTGTTTTCCGTGCTGAGCACCAATACTACCGACGCCAGGGAGGCAGCTTCCACACCTGGATCCTACCTATCGACCCATCAACTCATGAACCGGGGACCAACGGCTTTACCCCCCTTCCCGTTATCAGAGACTGTATGCCTCAGAACATCCCGGCGGTACCGACTGAGATTGAACCCAGGCCTGCTGGGGTGAGAGTAATCAAGCTTACATCATCGGCTATTTGAATGATTGTTGCTGACCTTTTTCCACGCTAGATGGTGCTTGAAGCAATATTTTTCGGGTAGCCATTGCAATGTATGGAAAAGGCATGAGTGGATCATGATATATTAGCAGTACAGCTCGGTTTTTACTCATGACCCCAGCATGGGGAAACCGCCGCGAGTTGACGTGGCTGCTATTCCGGCCAGGAAACGATCACGATCGAACACCACCAGTGCTCAGTTGGCATCGGAAAAACTATTGTCGAACAATCGTTACGCCATCCTAGAAAACGGCGATGAACCGAAGGTGGAAAAGAAGGAGAAATTCCCACCGTTCTTCGTTATAAGATTCCTAGAAGGCTTGAGTGACAAAATCGAATTTTACATCGGTAAAGGTCTCAAGTGTACCATGCGCATGTGCACTGACGGCATCAAGCTGATGGAATGATATTGAGGCGACCAACGTTCCGTTGCCTTTCCGACATGGAAATAGTCACACTGTCGGATAAATTGAAGCAACATGGACTCAAACCGATCCAAATCTTCAAGATGAATCGTCATGACGCTTCACGTAAGTACAGTGACCAGCTGTATCTGGTCGGTATCTGGAAAGGATTTCAACATGCTTGAAGGACTTTCAGAGTATTCGGGCCCTTTTCCACATCGTGGTGATTAGGGAACGGTACAAGCCAGCCATGATGTCACCCAAAGCGCGAGCTCCATGCTGTTCGGGCATGGAACGAGAAACTGCCACATGGCTTACCGCTGCAACAATTGTGGCAAGCAGCACGCACCAATTAATGGAGGAAGCAGACCCCAAATGTGACAATTGTGGGGCAATAAAGCCTCTAGGCAGAATCAAACTGCCACAGATTGCCAGAAAATACCGGGCAAATCGTTTCTGCCATCCCGCAAAGGCGCCAAATTCCTGTGCTTGCAACACTTCCACTCAACAACCGGTTTGATGCTATCCCCCCAACAGCTGGGATGTCTAACATTCCGGCAAACTCAAACCGTCAGACATATGCGGCAACTGCTGCATTCAGAAGCACCTCTCCACCTCCGGGACTATCGTGGCAGCATGAAGTTGCTCCTCCTTTACTAACGATCGAGAACGGAGTCACTCTGCTTACAACGGTGGAGCTTGTTACACTCGTGACAGAAGTCATCATGATCCAGTGCACCTGTAGGACTCTAACAGAACAGCTTCATGCCCGTATCCGTGAAGCCATCACATAAGCCAATTGGAACGCTTGCTCGCTCAAGAGCAAGAGCATCGAGTTCGTTGAATTCCTCAACGAACAAACCATCGTCTTACTTCCCGATTTCCGGCTTGTGATGCTGGATCGAACCAGCTCCGGGGGAGGAGGACTGGCCTTCGCTCTAAGGAGGAACATCTACTGTTGGCTGCTGCCGAGCTTCCAGCTGAAGATGATCGAAGCCGTAGGGGTGGAAGTTTCTCCATCACCATCGTTGCAGCTTACTACCTCAAACAAGTCAACGTCAAGGACGGGTCGCCAGTAGACCTGTAAAAATATATTGTCAAGCTAACACGACGGCGGGAAAACTTCATTCGCTGGCGACCTGAACACCAAACATTAAGCTTGGGGCAACAGTCGGTGCAACCAAAATGGCACTTTACAATGACCAGCAGGAAGTTCAGTACAACATTTTGAGTCCGGACACTCCTACCTGTTTGAGTAGGTCCGGTGCACAGGCCACCATCGACATCTACATCAGCAACTTGGCCAACTACATGTTTTCATTATTATAGAGATTTTGAGCCATATGGCTAGTTCATCTCTTAAGATAGTATAAAAAAGGAGAAAAAAAAATGGGTTCTCAGAAGAAGATTCCCAATCTTGGCTGTGGTAAATTTATCTTGCTATAATAAAAAGGTGTAGAAAACGGCCAATAAACGGAAATACAAACAAGGTACACTCAGATATTGTGGTAAAGGTTCGCCTCCTTTAGGAAGGTGATGAGGGCGGCTGCTGCCGGGGACTCGTCGCCCAACAGGTTCCGAATGCTGATTGACTCCAAGCCAAAGGCAGCCCGAAGGTCCTCCAGCTCCGCGCAGTTCACGAGGATGTGGCTGGCACTCCACAGGTTTCGCAGGTCCTCCGGAACGGTGTTCCACCGAAGTTGTGGGAGAATCTACTGTGCCCGGTGCGCAGCCTTGGCACCACTCGCTGTTCTCTTAAGTTTGGTCGATCCTTCCAGGTTCCAGTGGTCGCCTTGATCTTCCGAAGGTGGTGTGTCCTGTTGTTGCTCCACTCGGTGTCCCAGGCTCTCCGAATCGTCCGCTTTATCCACTTTTTGACATCTTGGAACGGTACATTGCCGGTGGACCTGGGTCCGGTGTGGCCTGAGCCGGCGAGGTGGTCGGCTATTACGTTTCTTTGGATCCCGCAGTGACCGGGTATCCACATGAATACTGTGTGGGGCGGCGCGTGCTTTACCGTCCCTTGGATCCACGGATACTTCGGTGATTTTGTTGTTAGGTCAGTTACGCTGTGTGAGTCAGTTACGACTAATATCGGCTGGTTGGCCGGTAACTTAACCGCGTGGAGAATGGCCGCTGCCTCAGCTGAGAACACTGAGCATTGGGTCGGGAGCGATCAGCTCACAAGCAGACCATCTCCGGAGACCCCCATTCCCACTCCACTCCTGGAGAGAGAGCCGTCGGTGTACCTAACTTCATAACCTTGGTAGTGCGCCCCGAGAGTTTCGACAACTGTCCGGCGTAAAGCCAGCGTGTTATCTCCTGTCCTGAAGCGGTCCTTGATTCGGCTGTCAATTTTGATCTTGTGCGATTGCCAAGTTTTGTCTCCGTGCCAGTGGATTATGAAATTAGTTGTAGACTCCGAACTTTTACAAAACTAACCCTTTGTCTGTACCCCTAAAATAAAGCAGAGTTCATTGCAAAAATGCTTCAAACGGGTATTAAATAAAATTCGAAATAAATCTCAACTACGAGACAGGCATATCAAAAAGATTTTAGCATGCATAGGTATATGTTAGAGAAAAAAAAAATCGTTTTGATGAATAATAATCCCCACAAATCGTTTTGATGCGAAAATTGCCTGGGGTCATATTGACCCCTAGATACAGAAAAAGGGTTAAGATCTAGTCTAAATAAATTCTTCTGAGACACGTTCTGGCACAGGTTCGGGCACAATCGGATCAATTATGTCTGATTATTAAACCTCATTTCCTGACCTGTTTGTCAGGTTCTCTGGATATCAAAGGACCCTGTTTGTCATGAAACATTTTTTTTTTTGAAGTTTGGGCAAATATCGTTTATTGCCCGTTTAAGGACGAAATGAATTGTTTTCCGATGACCAGCTTGTTTGACGGCTTCGAACGTGTTGAGTATAGCTGGATCACTCAAGGATCGTTATCCGGTTTAACAAAATTAACTAGATTGCAAGCTAGAATCCATGATGAACTTCTGGTATATTTATGATTGCTGGGTTGAACGGCGGCTGGATTGTCAGCTCGATTAGCGACAAATCGGGGATGACACAGCTGTAACGCTATAAATCCGCACACAAATTTCATTTTTCTTCGATTTTTACACCGAACTTTCATTTGTTTTATTGATGTTTAGTGATGCTTTTCGCGTCGTTATGAGGACATATCCTTCTGCGAATGGTTTTGGTTCAGTGCTTCAAAGTTTCATTGGCATTGGCTGTCAGTGACGATTGTCAATTTCGGTTGTCAAATCTGACGCTAAATGCTGATTTTTCTCTGAATTGGCAATATATATACACTTATCCACTCAGTAATTTTTACCGAGTTTTTGAATTGCGGAACTCTTCGGTAAAATTTAAAAAAATCTGTGGAAAATT